CAGACGCTGTTTGGCATCTATTACATTTACAATACCTAGGTTCATCTCTTTTCCAGTGGTTTGGTTATCTCATGAAAACCAAGGTTTTCATGATTAGCTCCAATTACTGACACTTATGAAATAGGGAATTAACTAAGCCCTCTGTCTGAGTCCAAAGCACAGGAAAAATATTTGAGACACCTGCAGACAAGGTGAGTTAATCTAAGCAGGCAAACTTAGATGTGACAACCTGTGGTCAGTGGGTAGAATTCAAATCTTGGTTTAATGTTTTCTGGGCTGCTGTAAATAACAGATGTGGGTATAAAAGTCAAAATGATACTTTCTGTTGTAGCTATACTTTCTACAGTGGAGAGAAGGGTTAGTAATAGGGTTGGAAACAAGAGTTAGTCAGATCATCATAATTTTGTAGAATAAATATGATCTCACTGTCCAGGTAAGATATGTTTACATCCCTCCTTTACAACAAATTTTGTGGTAAAAATGCTTAACATGAGAGCTACCCTCTTATGGCAGTTTAAAGTATATAATATTGTATTGCTGACTATGGGCACAGCAGATCTCTAAAACTTACTTATCATGCTTAGCTAAAGTTTTATGCCCATTGGTTAGCAACTCTTCATTTTTCACCCTCCAGCCCCTGGCAACCACCATTTCACTTTTTGATCCTATAAGTTTGACTACTTTAGATATCTCATGATGGCATCATGCAGTTTTGTCCTTCTGTGCCTGGCTTATTTCACATAGGATAATGTCTTCAAGATTCATCCTTGTTCTTGCATATTGCTGAATTTCCTCCTTTTTTTTTTTTTTGTTAAGGCTGAATCACATTCCATCATATGTATGTGTTACATTTTCTTTATCCATTCATCTGTTGATGGACTTTTGGTTTGTTTGCACATCTTGTCTATTGCAAATAGTGCTGCAGTGAGCATGAGAATGCTAACATCTTTTCAAGATCCTGTTTTCAATTCTTTTGGATAAATATCCAGATGTGGGATTGCTGGATCATTGAATCTGATATTTGACCTAATGTTTGGCTACCCTCCTGAATTTTATTTTTCTTTTTTCTGCTCTCTCATTCTGTTTCTCTGTTTTTATACTCCTTGGCTCTTATCTATATGCTATCATAAATTGAAATTAAATTATGTTTTTGTTTACTGTATTACTAAATATTTTACATTTCTTTTTATTTATAAGGGAGGTCAAGGTGGACAGATTCATGTTTAACTAGTGTCTCTTCTAATTACTTGTTTGGTAATGGAGAAGTCACTTAGGTTCCTTGCATTTCACTTTCTTCATTTGTAAAGTTTGTGAAACACTTTAAGGACTACTAAAAGATTATTAGATAATGCAAGTGAAATATCTAAGCACAGAGGGATATAGTAAGTCCTCAAAATATGATAGTTTCTATTTTTAAAAATCATCTATGTCTAGCATTTTACATTTTTCTTAGAATAAAATCTCAACAGAATTGACTTTTTACTTGTATATGCCCTTCTATGACTTTTTTCTTTTCTGTAAGTCACTGTTTTTTTTTTCATTTGATACTCTTTCCCCCTTTCACTGGTTTTTGAACAGAGTGAGTTTTTAGGAAATGGTTATGGGATAGATGAATTAACATTATTATTTTCCATCTGATCTGTGAGTACATTTCAATTTTTAGAAATAGATGGCCCTAAAATTATGAATGTAAAGCACCTGCAATCTATTACCTAGGGGGTAGCCACATATCAAATGTATGTATACTTTGTGCAATCTGACACCAATTTTGTTTGAAAAAAAGATTTTAAAAATTGAGATTATACAGCACACAGCTTTAGATTCAGGTCTTTCTGTTTAGCACTTCATTGTTTGGTACACTTAGAAAACGTATTTTTAATGGCTATAATAAGGATGGACCGTTTAATCTGAATTCCTCACTGACTGTCCTCCTAGAGTTCTAGGGATGCCCTTAGGCTCTCTACAGTGTGCCAGAAGTTTCTGACAAAAATGTCTAAAAGTGTTCTGAGCCAGTGTCCACTGCAGCTGAGTTTGGGCAGAAGGATTGCTAGGTCTGAACAAGCATCGGAGGAGGGTTAGCAGATGCCTCTCAAGTTGGCTTCGAGGGGCTTTACTGGCTCCTGAGTCAAATAGAAATAAAAGGAAACCTCTACTGAAGATGAGAATTCCTGTTCATCCAAAACAGCTGTGCTTTTGCCTGCTTTTGTGCTGCCCACATATTACTGCTTACACCGACTTTTATACTATTAACTGGCTCTGAAAATAGTTCCTGTTTATCCCAGGCAAGCCTGAAAGCAGTGAGCTGATTTCAGCAGCCTTCCCCTCCCTTGCTTTGTGATCTGATGATCAACCTCTTCTTGCCAGTCAGTTTACCTTTCCAGCAAATGGGAAAGAGCCCATTGGGCTATTACTAAAGCTTTGCTTTGGCTTAAAATAATACTCTTTGCTTCATGATGGTTTATCATTGACTATGTAAAGCACTGTTAGGATAGTAACAAAAAGATAATGGCTCATTTAAACTGCCTATTCATTATGTTGCTCAGAAAACATGTCTTTTTTGGGCCAGGTGTGGTAGCTCTTGCCTATAATTCTAGCACTTTGGGAGACTGAAGTGAGAGGATTACTTGAGCCCAGGAGTTCAAGATCAGCCTAGCAAACATAGTGAGACTTTATCTCTAGCAAAATTAAAAAAAAAAAAAAATGAGCTGGGCATAGTCGCGCACATCTGTAGTCCCAGCTACTTGGGAGGCTGAGGCAGAAGGATCATCTGAGCCTAGGAGGTGGAGGCTGTGGTGAGCTATGGTCATGCCACTGCATTCCAGCCTGGACCACAGAGTGAGAGCCTCAACTCAAAAAAGAAAGGAAAGGAATGAAAGAAAACATAACTCCTTTTTCTTTTCTACATTCCTAATGTAGATAGGCTTGAACAGGTTGAAGAATATAGTCATGACATGATTTTGATTGCTGCTGCAGGCTGGACCTGTGGGTTAAAATGATGAGCTGTGGAGACATTTTTATTGTGTGTAGGAGAGGCAAGCAGACTTTTCACAATGCTTCCACCTCATAGATGACAGCATCCAGTGACCAGGCCTTCCACTCCCACTTTCTTCTGCTTGAGGCTCTATTTTTCCTGTTTGATGTAATTATTGATTATTGGTATCTGTAGTGACAATTAGTGATATTAATGTATTGGGGGATGGGGAGATAGATTACACAGGCGAAATAATCTGCCTTTCTTCTTTCATGTCTTTGGGCTTTGGGTGTGCCGATCAAGATAATAGGTATGTTACAGAGCCCAAAAAGCCTAGACAAGGGTCAAAGTTATTTGTTGGGAAGGCAGGGAGCTCCTCAGTGAAGAGAAGGCAAAAGAAGGGGAAAGAGAGGAAATGTGCCTTTGCCAGGCAGTTGCTTATTGATCTAAGGTAGTCTTCACAACAGGTTTGGGAGAGAGATTTGCCTTTAGTTTTACATATGAGGACACCCAAATGCAGAGAGATAAAGGGGTGGACAGTCAGAGCAGCTGGCAGAGAGCCTGAGGCAGCACCTGGGAAAGCTGGTGAGTCATGCTCAGATGCCCACGGTCCTGCACACCCTGCAGGCTCAGGCCTCATACGCAGATTCCCCCACGGACGCTTTTACCACAGAGGTTTTATGAAGAGCCACAAAAAATCGCTGACTTATATCAGCCTTTTCACTGAGGGATAATTTAAAAGAAAGTTCTATCTTTTAAGTAATTTTTGTAAGGCTTTATAAGTGGGGTTTTTAGTAGATTTAATGTTTATAACATCAGGGATTAGTCCCACAAAGGTCTGCGTATTGGAAGTCCTATTTTCAGTGCCTTCAGTGGTCTACACAATCCAAATAAAATCCATTACCAGGAAAATAGTGCAAGATTCCTGGTGTTCAGCCTTGTAGCAGCTGAACCCCCTGCACTTTCATTTGATTGTGTGGTCATGGAAATAGATGACTGAGTAGACATTACATCGTTCTCTAATAGCAGAAACCAAGCCTTCTGGTATCTCTCCCTCACTTCCCTTCCTCCACCTACTGTTGCTCTGCTTTACTTCACTGGAGGCTCCGGGGTCTCCAAAGGGGTCTCTCACACCCTTGCTGTTGACCACCAGAGCCTCTTTGATGGTAGCTTGCAGCATTGCATAAATACCCTTTGCATTCAGGATTAATTCTGTATTAACGGATATGCATAATTCATGTATATCCAAATATACATTTAAGTATATTAGCATTTTACATGTTCTGCTTTGGAAATTTCAGTTAAAGGGGAGTTTTAATTAAGAAAATGAGGTGACTTTAACTGCTGGTGAGGTCTTTGGTATGGGTGAAGCTTCTGTGATTATTTGAGACCTTTAGAAATTAGTGTTAAAATTGAGAAATTTTTAATGGGTAGAATTTAGGGCATTTCTCTGAATATTCCTTTTCTAAGTCACCGTCTCCATCAATAGGTGCTTTCTGAGCCTCCTTGAATACTGTGAAGCTGGGGGTTGTCATGGTAATCAGTCCCATTTTGAAGAGTTGGGCAGGGTAGTGATAAAAAATACGGAGACTTCCCAAGGGTACTGAAAACAGGTGTTCAAATAAAAACTTGGACCTGAATGTTTACAGCAGCATTATTCATAATAGACAAAGGTTAGAAAACCACAAATATCTATCCACTGAGGAAGGGATAAAGAAAATGTGATATGTCCATACAATGGAATAGTATTCAGTCTTAAAAAGGAGTGATGTTCAGAGACATGTGGCAACATGGATGAACCTAGAAAACACTATGCTAAATGAAAGGAGCCAGACACAAGACCACATGTTATATGACTCCATTTATGTGAAATATCTAGAACAGGCAACTCCAGAGAGACAGAAAGTAGATTAGTGGTTGCCAGGGGCTTTGGGGTGGGAGGAACTGGGAATCACTGTTTAACGGATATAGGGTTTCCTGCGGGGATGATGAAAATGTTCTTGAACTGAATAGTGGATGGTGATGGTAGCACAGTGTGAATAATGCTTGCAGTACCACTTACTTGCACATTTTTTAATGGTGAATTTCATGTTGTCTGAATTTTACCACAATTAAAAAACAAAACAAAAAGCAAAGCAAAACTAAACAGAGACACTCAAAAACCCAAAGCATGGAGACTAGAATTGTACTGACCTGGGTTTGAGTCCTGGCTCTACCTTTTACTTACTGTGTGGGCTTGTACAAATTATACAATTTCTCTGAGCTTCTGTTTCTTCACTTGTAATGCAAGGATACTAGCATTTCCTACACTACACAGTTGTGAGAATTATGTGATATAGTGCATATAAGGGACTCATGGTGATGGGGCTCCTCTTCTAAGAAGTTTAAGCTTTAAGAACTAAGAATAACAAGTCTCCTTGAATATGGGATTAAAATTCTAAAATGAAAAAAAATATAGTAAATAGACTCTAAGTTTTCATGAGGAACCAAGTCTGACCTTCCAAAAGGCCTTAGATAACTAAACGTCTCTGTTGAAGTCTCTCTAAAAGGGGCCCAAGGGGGAAATACCTTGAATGATACACAGCAGAATGTTCTAGAAATGCTTTTTGTCTCATCTCTTTTCCATCATTTCATCTATCATGGCAGTGTGGCTCCCAAAACCTCCTTCATCTTCTTGCCTTATCTCTCAGCACCCAAACTTCAGTCCTTGTTCCTCTTATGCCCTTACCTTTCCTCTTTTGCTCCCTTCTCCCACGTTTTCAGCTCTGAGTGGCCCCTCCTTCTTACTGTATGCCAATTTGGTCTCTGCTCCGGCCTTTTCAGTTCTGTAGCTGTATGTATTACTTGATTAGCATCCCCAAAGTCCTCAGACTTCAATGAGGAAAAGCTAATAGTTTTGTCTCTGTCATAGGAGACAAAATGTCACACGTCATTATGTTTATGTAGTAAATATCCTTCATTAATCTTCACTAGTTTCAAAATGAATCACCTGTTAATCATTTGTCATTTTTATGAGGGATGGGGAATGAAAATTATAATCTATGTTGACTAATCACCTTGTACTTCCCAATAGAGAAAACCATTAGAAAAAAATGGAGGACAATACTAACTATTATTATAGACAGCATAAGAAGAAAAGAGACAGGAAGGAGAACTATGGGTATGCTCTCATTTGCTCTAGTTGACAAAGTCAGTGCCTCCTGAGGCTGAGGGGAGGGTGAAGACAGAATGTAGTTCATTTGGTATAGAGATTTTATTTTTTTATTTTTAATTTTTTAATTTTTTATTTTGTTTGAGTTGGAGTCTCACTCTGTCTCCCAGACTGGAGTGCAGTGGCCGCTCCTGGCCACTGCAGCCTCAACCTGCTGGGCTCCGGCGATCCTTCCGCCTCAGCCTTCCAAGTAGCTGGAATTACAGGTGCGTGCTACCACACCCGGCTAATTTTTTGATTTATTGTAGAGATGAGGTCTCGCCTGCCCAAGCGGGTCTTGAACCCGCGGGCTCAGGCAGTCCACTCTCCTCACCTCCCAAAGGCGCGGGATTACAGGCTGAGCCACCGAGCCAAATTCCCAGTAGTAATGAGAGCTGCACCTTAGGATGATGGTCTCCTTCCGTTCTCAGGAAGCTTAGGAGTCTCCGAGAGGTGAAGTAATTTTCTCAACTCATGTGAGCAAAACAGGATTGAGCCAGGATCTTAACTCAGGCCCAGGGATTCAAATCACATGCTTTCATCTGCCCCATGCAGGGCTTGGGCAATGTGTGCTCATCCTCATTCCTGAATGTCTCCTTTCCCTATCCCACACCCAGCACACATGTGTAACTCAGTTCACAGACTCACTGGGCTTACCAAAGTTACAGAGGCTTGGGGCTGGGGAGTTGGAGGGTTTATCACCCCATTCTCTGCTTTTTTGCAATTTCTGATTTGTTATCATTTGATAGTTAAAATTTGACTGTCTGCCCAATGTGTGATTGGTTTTAGTTTTCTAGATCTGTTTAGTATCTTTTATTTTTCTTTCTGTGCAAATGTCTCCTCTTTTACTTAGAAAAATCTTAGTGCATGGGTAAAGAAGGACCACTCATTTTTCCCCGTTGTGGTCTTCATAAATTACCACATTTGACTACCCATTCGGGCACTATTGCTTGCCTGTTTTTGAAACATTCTGGAAACTCCCTCAATAATCTTAATCAGTACAGAATATAATTATCCTTCTGAGCTAATTCTTTCTGCCATATAACCTAAGTCCTTTCTGCTTTGTTTTGTGTCCACTGAAGAGAAAAGATACTGCCTATGACGCATTATACATTCACGTATTTGTCAGGTGTGTCAAAATGTGTATCTCTTTTATTTTTGCTTCCAACATGAGAGCAAGGCCTGGAATACAGTTCAGCTGCATTTGGTAGCACTGTCCACTCTGGGACCTAGTAATCGTCTGAGGCTTCAGGGAGGTGTCACATAAATGACCAGGTGTATGAGCAGGAAGGGCTGGAGCTGTTGATGCTTGGTCTAGCAGTGAGCTGTCACACCGGATCTAGTGAGCTCTGGGCATGCTTGGCTTTAGAGCCTGTGTGGCTGGTAGATATGGAAACCTGAGTCTTCTGGTGGCTGTGTTAATGCCATAGCACAGTGTAGGGGCTTTAGAAATCAACCACTGTTGCAGGCTACTATGAAAGTGTGTATATTCATAGCTATAGCTTGTGCCTAGCTTACTACCAAAAGTGCTACATGGAACCTGAAGTCCAAAGAAGGTAGAGAGAGTACAGAGCATTTCAAGACTGTTTTGAGAAGACTTCCCCTTTGCTTTGGAATTCTGAGAAATGAGAATTGTGTTTTTTAATATGGTTTTTAAAAATGTGAGTTTTTGGCCCTTTTTCAAATTTTGCCATAGCTTCAGATTTATGGAAAAGTTTTAAAGTGGGTCGATATTCACAGTCAGTAATTGATACAATACTATTACTATACTCTAGACCTGATTCAGGCATTGCCAGCTGTATTTTTTGTAGCACCATATCTCGTTAGTCTCCTTTTATCTCAGGCAATCTTCAGCCTTTCATTGGCTCAGGATGTTGACGTGTTTGAAGACTGTAGGCTAGTGAATTTGTAGAATGTCCTTTGATTTGGGTTTCTTGCAATTCCATGATTCAGGCTATGTCATTTTGGCAGGAATACCATAGAAGTGATACAGTGTTCTCAGTGCCTCATTTCAAGGTGTCACATCAAGGACTTGGAGATTGTTATGGATAGAATAATGCACCCACAAAGATGTCCTCAAAGTTCCTAATTTCCGGAACCTGTGGATATCTTTCCTTATTTGGCAAAAGAGACCTTGCAGATGTGACTAAGTTAAGGATCTTGATATGGGGAGATTATCCCGAGTTATCTAAGTGAGCTCAATAAGGTTTCCTTGTAAAGACAAGATAGAGGCAAGGGAGTCAGTGAAGAGGACATGACCACAAAGAGGCTGGAGTTATGCAGGGCCATGAGCCAAGGAATGTAGGCAGCCTCTAGAAACTAGAAAAGACAATGAAATATTCTCCACTAGAGTTTCCAGAAGGAGCACAGCCCTGCTGACAGCTTGGTATTAGCAAGACCCATTTCAGACTTCTGTCCTCCAGAACAAATAGTTTGTGTTGTTTTAAGCCACAGAGTTTATGGTAACTTGTTATAGAATCTATAGGAAACTGACACAGAGATCAAGTTACAAAGCTGGGCTATTTAACTGACATGGAGAACAGCTCTAAGAGAAGACTGCCTGGTGGTCAGAATGGGCCTCTGTGGCCCCCGTGATGAGATGTCCTGTCCTTTGTTGGCCAATGCAGCACAGTCCATAGTTCACTATTGGCCAGTGAAGAAGTCCTGGTTGCTTTCAGGTGACTTGTTCTTAACGTTTCCTGTTATGAATGGCATAGGCAGAGGTGAAATGACCAGTGGGCCTTCAGACCTTTTGTTTGCTACCTTCCTTTGGGTTTTCTTTTTCATCTACATAGAAAATGTGCAGATGGTTTTACATTGATACTGGTGGTTATGGTTTTACTTTTGGGATCTAAGCAATGCACAGGTCCTCTGTATTTTTCTGGAGTTCTTTGCAGGATGTCATGATGAGATGGGTGTGGAGAAGGTGAGGAGAATGCTTGCTCTCTGTTAGGTATTTTAATTAATGTTCACCTTCTTGAGAACTGTCAGCAATCTGAAGTGGGAGCTATGATGATATTACAAAAGTGGAAATGGGCTCAGAGAGCTTGAGTCGCACAAAGTCACACGGTGGAGCTGGGAGTTGGTCAGTAGGATTCTGAGGTCCTGGTGTTTCCATTATACTACCTTAACTCTTTAGAAAGAGAATTACATTAGCATTTTTAATACAGCAAGCTTTTTTATTATAAAGATGTGGGGTACAATTTAGGGTTAGGTATACAAGCATTGATTATGCAGGTACACTTGTTGATGAGGTATGCCCCTTCATCCCCTAGCAGTTTCCCTCAACTGCCAATCCCACCTCCCTCCCCTGAGTTTTAATACAGCAAGCTTTTAATGAGCAAAACTGTATGATAGACACTGGGAAGGCTTGACAGAGTAAGAAGATGAATAAAGCACAGCTTGGGTTTCAAATATCTTATACATTTTATGATTAGAACACACCTTTGAATATCCTAGGCTATGAAAAAGTATCATTTGATTTTAAAGGGCCCTTAGTAAAATGGATTTTAAAGTTGGATTGAGCAAAGAAAAAAATGAATTTAAGTGTGAAGTAAGACTGAGGTCTTTGGCCTCATCTTCCAAGGGTGGTTGCTTTTAATGAGATGTTATTTTAACAGATCTGCAGAAAGAAGTGCAGTCAGACACCTGCTTCTTGGGAACAAATGCTTCCAATTAATGTCAGGGTGAATTTTGGGAACAGTTGTTGCAACAGTGAGGGAGAAGGGTCAGCTGTAGTGGCTATGGATGATGCCTTTGAGTCTGGATGCCTGGGATTCTCTTTTGATGTCCATCACAGCAGGGCAGGTATTGGCTGGGCATGGTCGATAAGGGAGCACTGCTTG